AATATACTATCTATTCGATACGTATACTTGCATAGTAGAATTTTAACTGACACCTATATGTATTTGGGTTAATGGCACAACGATTAAGTGATATTAAATATGTGAGGCCGAAAGGCCTTGATTACTTCTAGACATGATATAGGCATAAATGCCCACATATTCGTGGTTGATTTAAGGATATGCATAAGGTTGTTAAGCCATGATTAAATGGATGGACTATGATGAATACCCATTTAGGGTTAAAAGAATGAGGTTTTATAGCCTTATTATGTTTCGTTTAAAGATGTCTAAGAGATTTGAGGGCATTTATAATTGTAACTAGCTTCTAGATAACTGAAGCTCGTTGAATTTGAAATATGAATTTGATATGGACATATGGAACGTCACAAGCATGGTGGCCTGATTTGTGGATATATGATCCATCTAAAAGATGAACTCCGAACTTTGATTTGATTTGAGGTTGAGTGGAGCCCCATGCCCTGTGATTGTGTGTGCTTGTAAGGATTGTGGTAAGTAAGGACGGTGATATTAGTCCTACTTGTGATTCCCACTTACTGTGTTTTGATGCCACCCATTTGAGAATACTTTAGGTGATGCTGACTGTCAGGAGATTCTCTGATGGATGATTCTGATACTTCACCTGTTGCTTCGACAAATGCATGTTTTGTTCTCTGTTAGCTATTTTGGCACTGTGCGTGATTTGATTTTCTACCAATGGCTTTACCTTGTGCGTGATTTGTTCTCCCTCAATTGGCCACCATGATTTGATTTGATGATGTCCAAGGCAGGACCATTCATTTGATTTCATTTGGCTATGACAACATGCATTGTGTATGGCATGACTTGATTTGAATGTGAAATTATGGTGACTGATTGTGAATGATATTTGTTGAAAAGCTTAAGATAAGCAATATATATGTAAATGAAATTTGAGGTTAGGCTTAATAACTAAAGTGTACTTATGAAGCCTAGTTTAATAATGGCGGCTTTGGAGATAAGCCTTGAATTGATATGGTTTGATGTGAGGACTCAAAACTTGTAAATTGTGGATACGATACACCGTTGAGATGTAATCCGCCAAGGTTTAACATGATGAGTTGTGCATGTGGCATATTACGATGATCCTATCACCTTTTGAATTGGAGATGTTTGAATATGAATTTATTATGGCTACAGAGATCTAGATATATAATTTACATGTGAGATATTATGTTATGACAATATCCCTTCATTGAGTATTAGATGACTCACCCCTCTGTTGTACCATGTGCAAACAAGAGAAACGATTAGGTTATGTGGCAATTGTCATCGATTGGACGAACACATAATTGCCATCTAGTAGGTCTCCCTCCCATTGTGTCACTCCACTAAGTCTTGATGGGCTTTTTGCCTTCTAGCTGGTTAGTTTTTAAAATATGTATAAGGGTTGTTATGGACAAACCCAATTTGATGGCCAATGTATGGTCTTTGAATATTTGTATGGATTGTGAGCCAGGGATAGGGTAATATATCTGAGTTTTATTAAGACTATTTTCTTATTAAATCCCTTGGCTTTTGTTTTGCATGATTTTGGATTCTAAAGCTTGTTGAAGTCTAGTAGGCTTACCTGTTGGGCTCGTGCGCTTGTTATTGACCACGGGGTTGGGTCGTGACAAAGTAACAACTCTAAAGTTGCCATATTTGCTCCTAGGTAGCTCAAATGGTACTCAACATCCATTGTATCACAATACTTCAACTCTTTGATTAGAACATGCAATTGTTGAATAGCCCTATTACCTGATTGTCGATCTAAATTCCTAAAGCCATGCTATCTGTAACACCCCATACCCTCATTTAATGATCGATGAGACTCTATTGAGGATAATAAAGGGTATTTGAGGT